CGTATTGATTCACTTGCAAAAGTTTTGGGCATGATGTTCTAGCAGTAATAGCGTATCCTTTCACGATAGGGTGGGAAAAAGTCTTTGAAGATATTCTTTCATCTATACCTACTCGGGTATGTATCTACCGACTCCATTTACCCTTCTTTCGGATCCGCCCGCCGAAGATGTAAAAGACCCACGGCACGGGCACCATTGCAATGGCAAAGAATCCAAAGATACTCGTGCCCCATGGGATTCCCACACGGTTGTAGAGCGGAGCGATCGCGAGGGGGAATCTATGGGAAGAAGTTGTCAGTTTATTTCCGTCTCTGTAAAGCACCCAAAGAGGGGGAGAGAAAAGGAAAACGGCAGGGAAAATTGCTTACGCTCCGGCAAAGCACGACCGCAGGAACGTGTTGGCGGCCACCGCGCTCGCCGCGTAGGCACTAAACGTGTCGACCAGGTAGTTCAGCGCCGCCTGGAAGACGGTGAAGAAGCCGAATCCGGTCATGGCAATCCCGATCACGGGCGCGATCCAGGGATATGACGGATCCGCGGTCCAACCTGTGATAAACAAGCCCGCGCTGAAAAATACCGATCCGACCATCATCGGTGGGAGGCGCAGTTCGGGCGCTACCTTCCCAGCCGTTTTCTTGTTGTAGACCATTTGGTTGTACACGTTAACGACGGCGCCGAGAAAGGATCCCACTAGCAGCGACGAGAATGGGACGGATGCCGGGACAGCTCTCCAGCCGCGATGCTGCTCGAAGATGAGAGGGATTGCTCCTATGTCCAGAACATTAGAGAAAGAGAAGATAACTATGGAGTGTGAAGGAGCGAACCAAGCTGCATGTATAGGATGCCGTAGCAAAAGCTCGCGTAGAGCGCCATCAGAAAACAAATTGGCGTTGTCAAGAGCTGTATCGGCCGGACTAAGAACTAAATCAGACGTTGTCAGCATCGCCCACGGCCCCAAGTCGAGTCATGTTTCGAATAGCGTTCGTAGCACCAACCTTGCGAGCCAACTCGCCCAATGAAATATCCCATTCTTCGAACTTTGCGTGCAGTGCCCAGTTGCCGCTCTGATGTCGCAGGCGTCGCGCTTTGTATACCAGGAGGCGAGGTGGGTATGACTCGTCGAGGAATATGACATCCACGATCAACACAGTTACCTGGAGGATGCCTGAGAAGTACTCTGTCCACCGCCAGCCGAGGCGAGGCTGAACAACAAGCGCCGCTCCGACGATGGGTCCCAGACCCGGCCCCAGCACCACGGCCATGGCATAAGCGGCCATGGCGATGCCCCGTTGCGAAGGCGGGAACAGATCGCTCAAGACTCCACCCGTGTTCGTTACCGGCGCGGCCGCGAAAAACCTACAGGTAAGCATGTAAGTCGAAAAAGGCCCGACAAACGCCATGCGTACGGTGTTGCTATGTTCGGGTGGATTTGCCTTACCCAGCGAAAAATCTGGCTATCATCAGCGTCTGGAAATCGCTTGCAGAACCAGCCGCAAATTCGAAACAGATAGCAACGAGCATTGGTGGGAGGACGGAGGTCTATTCCGAAAAACGATCAGCTTCAGTCTCCATCTCAGAATTCCAAGTATCTTTGGGCCTCTCTCACTCACGTCCCGTACGAAGTATCAAAGGATACATGGTGGGCATTTACCTTTCGACCGAATACCTCAGACAACGGCGCCCACAAGAGAGGACCGAGGCCGAATCCGAAAAGGAACAGACTCGTGCCCAACGTCGCGACTTGGTTGCTGACGCCGAAGTGTTGTGCCACCTGCTGAGTGCCCGGGCTAAATGCACTGCTGGCCCAAGAGGCCGTCAGAGTCGTGAAACTATACAGCGCCGTGGTAATGACCTTTTTCTTCATAGACCAATTAATGGGCCAATAGGTGTCATCCGCGCCGTCAAAGTCGACCAGATCTTCCACGGTCGTTTTCTGATGTTCGAGCTCATGTGTGAAATTGCTCGGGACGATTGGCGGTCGACTCCTGACGCGCGCTACCACGGCCTCTAGTCGAGGAATCGTAGAAACACTTGAGGTGGATGTGACGGAGGAAGTAGAGCGACGTGTCTGCGCCCTTGATCCGCGGAGACGATGTACTGTCGAAGAGTGGTCATCATCTACCTCCAGGCCGTTTGGTTTGGCGTCTCCGTGCTCTGGGTGGGTTGTCATATGGGCCAGAGCATTTTGCCGACCTGCATTGCTCACAGGAGCTATCGCAGCCATCGGAGGGTCTGACGAGACTGAATTTGCCATGCGCGGTTCCGCTTCAGACATTACTCCCCTGGTGGGAGGATTGTTTGTTTTATTAGCATTTCATGGAAGACTGAGGTTCAGCTTGTATGGACGTTTAGCTCAAAGCTTCTGTCACACACTTCTTGTGTGTAGGACGTTCAGCCACTGGCCCAGCTCTGGTACAGAAGGGAAACCTGTGGCTCTTGAGCCCCAACTGGTTGTGGGTTGGAGCATGGTTGTTGTAATTGATTGATTGGCAGCTGGTGGCAGGGTTTAAGCGAGTCGAGCCCGGCAATGGCCCGGGTGTCATCAACCGAATAATTAAGATCCAGCTAGTGGTTCCTAGCGGTACTAGTGCCAAAGTCCACCTGCGAATCAATCCAGTTGACTATTTATACATGTGCCGACCAGTACCAATGCGGCGAGAGTTCCAACAGACCAAGCGCGCCGAGATACAATAGCCTCAGGAGTCTGTTGTGGGATCAAGTACATAGACACGTCACGCACTGAGGCAAATGGCTCCTAACTTCTCTTCGCTACTCTCCCTCCAATCAGCGGGCACTCGGCAGCTCTCGCCCGATGGGGGATGGCTATGTGGAAGATTCCAAGAAAGCGAGAGTTGCCGCAACCATGGCATCCCCTCCAGTTTGAAGGGTCGGATGGATTGCGGGCGCAAAGTCCGGGCTGTGGTTGATCGGCACAGTGTCTAGCTTCCCCTGCGCGGCTAGGGAATCCCACTGCTGTTGATCTATACCGCCGAATAGCCAGAAGCAGTAGGGTTTTCCAATCGACCCAGCAAGGATACTGAAGTCTTCGCTTGCCAGGCTGCTTTTTGGTGCGACCACAAACTCGTTCCCGAAAATCTGCGCAAAGGTTTGTTCGAGTTTCGTTTCAGTCTTCTCCGAGTTTGCGGTGACTGGAAGGCTCATATGATGTTCAATCTGGGGGCCCTTCTCACAAAACCCTGCTTCGCACTCGGACTTGATTATTCTCTCAACATGATCGAGGACGGTGCGTCGTACTTCTTCATCGAGTGTTCGAATGTTGACAGTAAAAAAAGCGCGATTGCTGATCACATTCTCCGCTTCGCCAGCATGGATGGACCCGACCGTGATGACGGCGACTTCGTCAGGAGGTACCACCCGACTGACAATTGTTTGGAGACGGACGACGATATGACTGGCGATAACCACGGGGTCGATACAACGATGAGGCATGCTTCCATGTCCGCCTCGGCCAAAGATGGTGACTTTGAGGCTGTCCGAGGAGCTCATAATGGGGCCATTTTTGGATGCAACCACCCCGGCCCGAATCGGGGCCACGTGCTGCCCCAGAACAATGTCGGGAATTGGACAGTTATGCCTCGAACTGTCATATAAGCCGTCGTTGACCATTCCTAGGGCTCCATCCCCAGCCTCTTCCGCTGGTTGGAAGAGGAACACGAGTGTCCCCGTCCAAAATTGGCGTGCCCTCAGAAGAGTCTCCGCTGCGATCAGTAAGCAGACAGCGTGAAAGTCATGTCCGCAAGCTGTAAAGAGCCATCAGTCAACTCCTCCTCTGCCGGGATCGAAATGGAATGGTCCCTACCATGCATCACTGGCGTCTCTTTTCCATCGCCGCCGATTTGCCTTCGTAGACTGGCGTATTCGAGGCCCGTTCGCTCTGCGACCGGCAACGCATCGATGTCTGCTCGGAGCAGGACGGTTTTCCCAGTTCCATTCTGCAAGATCGCAATCAACCCATGGCCCCCGATCCCTGCCCGAATCTCAAAATCGGCGCTCAAGCCCCGGAGATGCTGAATAATTAATGAGGCTGTCTCGGACTCGCAGTGAGATAGCTCGGGGTTTGCATGAATCTTCTTGTAAACAGCCTCGTAGACTGTCAGATCAGGTCGACACTCTCGGATGACCGAGGCCGTGATGGCAGACATGTCGCTGCACACGTTGGGGTTCGAGAGATAGATTTTCAGATGCTACAAATATGAACAGGAACAGTCCTCAAGCATCGATTGACATCTTTTTGGGAGATTCGGACGACTGAAACCGACCCGGCTGGGCAACCCGCTTACCCTTACCTATCGAGCTGAACAATAACTCAAAGGTCACAGCGAGAAACTAAGAGCAAGAGGAGTGAGAACATGCAAGCCAGAGGCACAGAGGCCGGAGACGGACGGCCCTCCCTCGAATGCGATTGGATGTGGATGGATGAAACTCCCCACCGACTATAAGGTGACAGGCAAATCGGGTCAGTTGACGAGCGACCCACCCCTTGCACCATGTTGGAATGGCCCAATGCAACTGGGGTCCAGGCGAGTCGCCCAATCCTGAAGCATCTGAACCTAATGACCTCAGCTCATTGACGTCTCTCTTTGTTGTCGTATTAAGTTCTCCAGTGGCGATGTAAAAGCCCAGTTATGTATTGCTAGTACCAATATAAGCCACTCAGCTATCAGTTGTACTATCTCCTCCCCCACAACTCAAATCGAGGTCCGCCACCGACCCGCGATGTTGCTTTTGCCCTTCTCCCAAACTTTGTAGACTTTGGTCCAAAGGAAGATATCACACCATCCCGAGTCGAGTGGTGGGCGATATGGACGACTCTTGGTGTTTCCTCGACCCCAACAAACCCCCCCTCCTCCCCTCCCCAAAAGAAGTGCAAGAAGATAAAGCTATCAACATGCCCACTTATGGGGCTCCATGCAACGGAATCCTTTTCGTCCAAGTCTGGGTTATTGAGGCTGTACCGGTGCCTTGTCTGACTGACCAATATGGCGGAACCTATCCCGTCTCCCAGAGGATATCCTATTATTGGAAATGCTCTCGATATTGATGCGGAATATCCTATGATGAGCCTTTCGAACCTGGCTAATAGATATGGTAAGTGCAGTTGTAATGTTTTTTTTTTGGGTAGGAAGAAGGGAATGTCTCTGGAACTAGACTCACAATGACAATCTAGGAGAGATATTCAAGCTGACCCTGGGCGGGCACGAAAGAGTCTTTATCTGCCGGCGAGAGCTTTTCAACGAGCTAATGGACGAAAAACGATTTGAGAAAGCCGTCACCGGGGCTCTTTTACACATTCGAAGCGCTGTCCATGACGGCCTATTCACTGCCTTCCCGGGGGAGCACAATTGGGGTGTGGCGCATCGAGCATTAATGCCGGCGTTCGGGCCCATATCCATTCGTGACATGTACGATGGTGGGTGTGCCTCAATGCTTCCCAATGCCAACTGTCGTGGTGTACTGACTCTTGGTCTCCAGAGATGTATGATATTGCCACCCAGCTGGTACTGAAATGGGCCCGCTATGGTCCAGAGCATGATATCAAAGTCACGGATGACTTTACTCGGTTAACCCTGGACTCCATTGCTTTGTAAGTGAGTCCCTTCGTACTCGGACCTTCAATTGAACAAGTAAAGGTGTGCGATGGGGACTCGATTCAATTCGTTTTACACGGAAGAAATGCATCCGTTTGTCAATGCAATGGTCGGGGTGTTGACTGGTGCCGGGGAGCGTGCACGACGACCACCACTCCCTAGCTACTTCTACCAAGCCGCGGACAAGAAATTTCAGGACAACGTGGACCTGATGCTCAAGATTTCGACCGATCTCGTCAAGCATCGTCGCGAGAATCCCACCGACAAGAAAGATCTCCTGAATGCGATGCTGTACAACAAAGATCCTCAGACAGGCGAGAATCTGAGCAACGAGAGTATCGCTCACAACATGATCACGTTTCTCATCGCAGGTAAAATCTCCATTCTTCACCACTGGGATGGATACGCTCCGCTAACCTGGCAGGCCATGAGACCACCTCGGGGCTTCTTTCCTTTGTATTCTATGAGCTTCTGAAGAACCCGGAAGCTTACCAACGAGCCCAAAAGGAGGTCAACACAGTGATTGGAGACGATACAGTTACGGTACAGCACCTCTCCAAACTGGAATACCTCAACGCCGTCTTGAGGGAAACATTACGGCTTCACCCTCCTGCACCAGCATTCACGGTCAGGTCGAAGCAGGATGAAGTGATCGGGGGAAAGTACCACGTCACAAAGGATATGGCATTGGTCTGTTTCTTGATGGCTATCCACAAGGATCCTGCGGTGTATGGCGAGGACGCCGAGCAGTTCCGCCCAGAGAGAATGCTGAATGAGGCATTCAGCAAACTTGCTCCCAACGCGTGGAAAGTACGTGATGCCTTGTCCCTCTGGGACCTCATGACGACGACTGACTAATATTGAAACCAGCCATTCGGGAATGGCTCGCGCGCATGCATTGGTCGACCATTTGCGTGGCAGGAGGCCCTGTTGGCTCTGGCCATGTTGCTCCAGAACTTCGACTTCAGCATGTCGGATCCCACTTATCAGCTTGTGCTTCAATCTACATTGACTGTCAAGCCAAAGGGTTTTTTTATGCGCGCGAAAGCTCGGCGACCCGACATCGAAACCAGGTTTGTTGGACGGTCGATCCCCAGAGATACAGCTAAGCACCAGCCATCGCCAGCGCCGGCAAGCGGAAATTCGGATCATACAGACTCGAAATTACCAATACTCTCAATCTTTTACGGGTCCAACACTGGAACCTGTGAGGCTATGGCGAACTCTTTGGCGTCCTCTGCCGCTTCCCACGGCTTCCAGGCCAAAGTTGAAATCTTAAATAAGGCGGTGGATGCGTTACCCAAGAAAGGCCCAGTGGTGATCATCACCTCAAGCTACGAAGGAGAGCCACCGGACAACGCAGCGCATTTTGTCTCTTGGCTAGAAGGGTTACAAGGCACAGAAGCCAGCGGAGTCAAATATGCCGTGTTTGGATGTGGAAATCGTAAGTGCGCTAGAAGAAGAAGAAGAACAAGAAGCTCAGTAATGGTGGTGTGCTGACGTTTTGAAGGTGACTGGCAAAACACCTACCACAGGATCCCCAAGCTGGTGGACGCCACCCTTTCCGAAAGAGGCGCTGAGCGTTTGACGGCTAGAGGAGCTGGCGACGCAAATGATGCTATGTTGTTCGATACGTATGATACATGGAAAGACGAGCAGTTGTGGCCTGCTGTTGCCAAAGCTTTCCGGGTCGCACCAGAGGGTGGAGAAGACCCTCGGTCCTCCGGACTCGACATTCAGATATCTGCTGACAGCAGAGCGAGTTTCCTGCGGCAGGATCTCAAACAAGGTCTGGTGCTCACGACAAGACTTTTGACTGCGCCAAACGGACCTGAGAAGCGACACCTCGAGATTCAGTTGCCTTCAGGAATGTCATACAGGGCTGGAGACTACCTGGCAGTCCTCCCCTTCAATCCGACAAGAAATGTGCGGAGATGCCTTGCAAGATTCGGTCTTCCTTGGGATGCCATGATCACCATCAAGCCCGAAACTCACACAGCGCTCCCTTCGGGGAGACCTCTGCCGCTTTTTGAAGTCCTGTCGGCCCTCGTCGAACTGTCGCAGCCAGCGACATCGAAGCAATTGAAGCAGGTGGCTGCAACAATTGCAGAACCTGCCGCGAGGGAAAGCTTGGAGAGGCTCGCGAGCGACGCCTTCAAGAAAGAGATCTCGGACAAGAACCAGTCCCTTCTCGACATCCTGGAGAGATATCCCAACGCACAATTCTCGCTCGGACAATTTCTGGAGGCACTCCCATTGATGCGAATCCGACAGTACAGTATTTCGTCCTCCCCTCTGGATGACCCGTCCAAGTGTACAATCACCTACTCGGTTCTCGATGCTCCGACAAGGGGTGGAGATCCAGACAAGGACCGTTTCTTGGGAGTCTGCAGCAATTACCTCCGATCGCGTGCACCAGGCGACTGGATCCACGTTGCGGTGCGCCCGAGTCACGCAGGCTTCCATCTCCCTCTTGAGGACGTCACTCCGGTGCTGATGGTTTGCGCCGGCACGGGCCTGGCGCCCTTTAGAGCGTTTGTCCAAGAGCGCGCGCTCAAGATCAAGTCTGGGAAAGAGCTTGGCCCCGCACTGCTGTTTTACGGCTGCGGATCGCCCGATCGGGACGAGCTCTACAAGAGCGAATTCGCCGCGTGGGAAGCGCAAGGCGCGGTGAAAGTGCGCCACGCATATTCACGAGCACCGGACCAGAGCTTCGGTTGTCGCCATGTCCAGGACAGGATCTGGCACGACAGAAGCGAGGCAACGGAGCTCTTTATACGGAATGCGCGGATTTATATGTGTGGCGCCGGTGCCGTGGGAACCGAAGTCAACAAAGTCATGGCCAAGATCTTCATGGGCGCCAAGGGTGTCTCGCAGGAGGCGGCTGAAGCATGGGTTAACGGCTTGAAGGGTGTTCGGTACTGGGCTGACGTGTTTGCTTGAGAGAGAGAGAGAGAGGCAGAGAGATAGATGTCGGAAAGGCTCTGGTTCTCTGCACTTGTGCGCAACGTTTGGGTCTCGTGCTCCCGCACCATTCGCGCAACGAGTTTGCGGCCTAGGGCCGAGATGGGACTTTCGTATTCTGGTAGACTCAGGCTCAGACGCCATCCCTTTTCCTGAGCGGCAATCCCACACAAAGTGATAAAGGCACTATTTTTGGTTTGCCCCGAGGAGGGAGAGGTTGTAAGGAATAGCAAAGAATTTCGACAATACATATCTAATGTGAAGGCTCCCAAACGGCCGCCGATAGATGTAACAATATAGACTGCGGTACAACTGATGGATGGCAGCTGCAGGAGGTGCACAACACAGATTATCCACAGCATTAGGAGAGTCTCCCCATAGTCAAGCTCCCAGCCAGCCAGCTTAGGGATACGGCGGGGGTTCTAGGCATTTCTCAGGATTACCTAATGACAGGCCGTGATAATGTAGGCTACAGGAAAAAAGCTGTATGTAGTGTACTGGGGGAGTCTAAAGGCTGAAACGTGATTAGTGGGATTTGCCTGCACAACGTACAGGATGACACTGATCAGCTGGATCTCTAACACTAGTTCTGAGATTCCTTTTTCCTTGATCCTTCAACAGGATCTATCCATCTGAATAACTAACGAACAACTTAATCAATGAGTTAAAGATAGTGATCAATTAAGTTATGGAATCTATCTGATCAGGACTCTCTATGCTGTTTTGTTATTACTGTGCGATAGCTGTTACCCTCTCCTATGCCCAACCGCTGTACGAGCTGATGCTTCTGGCTAAGAGCCTCGCCCCAGTTCATCAGGACATGATTTTTAGGGCGGGGGTTGGCACTCAGTAGGGGCCATTATCAGCGAGCTATACGAGGTATAGGCTAGGGAATAATAGTTTCCCACTATGAAAGTAAAAGGAACAGTTCGTCCAAAGTAAGTCATTCACATTAGTTTTGCGTGTATGTATACAAGTCGTGTCAAGCTCGACCTGTCTAGCAGACAGTCTTCCAGATCTTCTTCCACCATGGCCACGTGGTTTGAATTCTGCGCTCCTCTTCCAGTATCTCCTTGAGGTTGTGGACTTCTCTCCTCCCGCTTGTAATGTCAATCTCGCCGATCTTTCGGATCTTGGTCCTCTTTATCAACTTATAGCCAATAAACATGGCGAGGACGATAGGTGCTGCAAGGTAGACTTCAAAGAAATACTCCACCAACTCGGAGGCAGACATGTCAGCATAGCCAACGGGTGCAAAGCCTGTCCAGAACTGCGCCACGAGAATCAGGATGTTCATGACCAGTCCTATCCATGAGCCATACACAGTAGCCTGTGATTTGAAGGCGAGTTCGTCCAAACTACGGCCAGCAAGACGCCAGGCACTGCGGAAGCGGATGTGGCATAGGCAGATAGTGCCCCTTAGATAGACAGGTCAGTCAGAGCGCGGGATTTTCGGGAGTTCAGCACTGCTTACCAGGTGAAGATTGAAGCCAGGCCGCTGATAGCAATCATCCAATTGAAAGCCTGGGTTGTGGTGTCCGGACCAGCCGCGACAATGTAGCACAGGAACCCGATGAGGGAGGAGACAATAATAGCAACCAACGGACGGCCTTCACGGTCAACATAGCCCAGGATCTTGGGGGCCTGCCCCATATCTGCGAGTGCGGCTAGAGTACGGCTGGAGCCGTAAACGGAGGAGTTTCCCACAGACAGGACTGCAATGAGGATGACCACATTCATAATGGAAGGCACCGCATCGATCCCGGCGTTGCGGACGGCAATGACAAACGGAGAGGCGTTGGCGTCGGATGAGGAGCTGCCGTTCAGAAGTTGTGGGTCATTGTAGGGAACGAGGACGCCCACAATGGTAAGAGACACCATGTAAAACAGGGCGATTCGCCAGAAGACTTGTTTCACGGCCGTGGGTAATGCGATGCGAGGGTTCTCGGTCTCTGCAGCAGCTAGGCCTACCAACTCGGTTCCGCTGAAAGAGAATGCGGCAGTGACAAACACAGAGCACAAGCCCTTGAATCCGTGGTTCTAATAGTAAATCAGTATCCAGGCAAGGTATGGCAAACGGTGCTTGGCTTACAAAAGCGCCTGGATCATACCAGTAGTGGGTGCCGATATAGCCTCGAGAATCGCCCGGGACACCACCAGTATTGATGATGATACCGAGTATGATAAAGCCGATGACGGCGATGACTTTGATGATCGAGAAAATGAATTCGGCTTCGCCATAGCCTCTGACACCGAAGAAGTTGATGAGAATAATGGCTACCAAGAATATGGTCACCCAAGCCGCCCCATTGACGTCCCTTGTGCCAGGCCAAAATTCAAGTGTCAGAGACGCGGCGACAATTTCAAGCGGAAGTGTCACAAGCCACTGGAGTGCATAGCTGGAGAGAGAGTCAGACTCAGCAGGACAAGGGATCAGCACTGCGATACTCACTTCCAGCCCATTGCAAAGCCCCAGGCCTCGTCCACGAATCGACTGGCGTAAACAGAGAATGCTCCAGCAACCGGATACTGCACCGCAAGTTCACCCAGAGCATGGGTCGTGCAGTACAACGTGATTCCTATCAGACCATACGCAATGATCAATGATGCAGGACCTCCGTTGGCCAGTGCGGAACCAGAGCCTACAAAAAGGCCAGTCCCGATCGAGCCCCCAATCGCGATCATCTGGAGATGGCGTCCCTTCAACTTCATTGCCAAAGCGGGCTCGGCGGGAGGCTGGTCTGCGAGCACCCTGCCATTCGCATCAATGGCTTGTGTCGTGACCCGGGCATGGGGATTGCGTTTAAACCCATCCACGAACCGACCGAACGCGGTTGAAGCTCGAGGAAATTCGACCTTTCCTTGGGAGAAGTCGGAGCTGCCACTGGGGCTTGCCGACATTGCTTCAACGTCCTTCTCCATTGCAGCTCGTTATTGTGGGAGTGATAACAAGGGGGTAATCTCCTGACGGGGAAGAGTTGATAGAGCTGAGGGGGGATTCATAATAAGATATAGACCAAAGGGTCGGCAGCACGCGTCGATCGTCGGCAATATGCGATGGCATTTGATAGCAAGCAACGAATGGAAACATTTACAGAACATAACCGAAGCGGAGAATGTGAAAATTTTGTGGATGATAAAATGTCGCATATTGAAAGCTTTGGGGCAAGGCTACCTTATCACTTGGCTGAGATGCAAATCCAGATGTCACGGTCCCACTTTCCACTGGCAAAATCGTTGACGGTACCAATGACACACTGTATACGATCAATTGTATCCTCCATTGACCACTGAGTGCTCGGATTTTACAGGAGGATAATCGGTAGAGTGGAGCTGGTGATCGTTTACTGAAGGGCGTGAGGTTACAACGAGATCACGGCACCTCATGTGGACATACCGAGGAGACGATAGGAGCTGGGCTAGACTAGTTTAGAAAGGGGGCAAAAATAGACACGGTGTTTTGCAGCAGACACGGGTTCTCCATATATCGGTTGTGGTGGTATGCGATACGAGAATAGAGGTTGTTGAAGGAGAAAACTTCTTCGATAGTACCGGCTGCGTGGTGGCGGCGACGCGTGGCTGCGTCAGCCAAGCCAAAGTTTTTTCGAGAGTTCGGAGCAATGTCGGGGACTGGAAAAACTCTGTTCCGGGACAACAGAAAAATTCCCTCGAGCCTTGCATGCGGTTCAAGGCTGGTTCCAGCATACGCCTGGATGGATACAACTAAGTATCGTGAAGGCAATTGGAAGGACGATGTGCGCCATTATGCCAGAAGGAAACTAGGTAATGATTGTGGAGGAATGTGAGGGTGATGAAAGGGCTATCAAAGGGCTTCAGGATTGCTGCCAATGCTAGATACTTGTATTCTAGCATCGCACAATTCTCCTTCACCACAATCAACTTGGCAACAAAAGCTTATCGTCAAACCTCTTCAGCTGCCCTGGATGGAAGTCTAGTGCCCTCCCAAGCACGCGAGCCGCTCCTCACAGGCAAAAAGGCACTGTACCTCGTACCGAGGACATATTATACAACCATTTCAACTTTGTCGTTAAGCCAGGTGGGGTGTGTTCCAACTGAAAATCCAAGCGTGTAAGATATCCTAATCATACCATTTGTCCTTTTGCAGATGAAGTGTCATCTTTACATATTCTTTCATATGTAAACGAGATCGCCATCATTCTGCACGGACAGAATAGGTATTAGAGGTCGGGCCAATGGAAGAGCTTGGTAATAGGTGAAACCACGGCGTTCGAAAGACCAGGTCAGCGGTGGGTGTCAACGATAGACTGGGTCTTTCATTCGCACTCCTTTGATTGGTGTATTGAATAACGTATTGAATAACAAACCAGATAATGATGGAAAACGGGTGGTCGAGCGTAGGCGGCGGCGTGGGGAGGAAAAGAGTTGATGGTAAATAATGAAGCAGTGCAGCCTGTGACACAGTAGTGACTGGTCCCGTGCGAGAAACGCTAGATAGTCACCTAGTAGCTAGGCAGTAAGAGCAAGAGTTCCGAATACCTTGTGCCGAGTAGTATGATATCTAGCGAGCTAGGTACCACTGCATTTTCCCGCAGTACGAGGTGGGAAGACGCTGAGGCCGCCTAGCGAGGCTACGTACGAGATACTTGGTAACCATGTGCTCAGTTCTCGTACATATTGATGAGGCACAGCATCGCCTCTAGGATACTTGTTTTGGGATGTTTGGTGACTACTGAAGTCTACAGTACACAAGATATAGCACCAGAAAGTACCTACCCTGGGTGCCTGGTAACGAGCGAGGTTGGGGTTGAGAAAAGTGTGTTGATCGACAAGTTCATTTCGCTGATCATATTTCGTTTGAGGGTGATGGGCACTCCACCCGCCCTCTAGCATGGTCGTCATCCTTTTACTCACCTGTCCGCCATGGCCACCACAGCACCATGGTAATTTCTTCTGAGACTCGGTAAGCGAGAGCCCTCGAGTCCTTTACAGAGTTCATT